CCATTTTTATTTTGGTTTAGTCTGAAAGAATCAAAACAAACGCAAGGGAAACTAAGGTACGAGGAGCGTTCCGTATATAAAGCCTCCTATTTTTTTAATGAAAACTACAACAGATACAGAAAGCATAATAATGCAGTTAAATAGAGCAAGATTTCAGCTACTTAGAGCTATTTTTCCACATAAACACCACCATTTGTTATGCACTCTTGCCAGTGAGGAACAAGAGCCTGTATGCTGTGTCTGTAAAAGTCTGCGCCAGCAGAGGCTAGCCACTTTCTTACAGCTACAATGACAGGATCGTTGTCCGGAAAATATTGCCCACGTAGTCCATCTTTCATAGGCCCGTAGAGATGGAAGTCTGAAGGTGCTAAATCCGGGCTATAAGGTGGATGTGGTAGGACAGTCCAGCCAAACTTTGCGATGTGTGCGGTGGTCGCCAAACTGGTATGGGGTCTAGCGTTATCGTGTTGCAAGCGAAAGGTTGTCTGCTTCTCTGGCCTGACTCGGGAAATGCGGGCTTTCAGCTTAGTCAGTGTCGTCTTGTAGCGTTCAGAATTGACAGTTTCACCAGGCTCCAGATAAATCCAACAAAATCACACCACATCTATCCCAAAAGACCGCGCATATCACTTTCCCTGTCTATGGCTGTTTCTTGAACTTTTTGGGGGGGAATCCGAATGTCGTCACTCCATGGACTGTCTTTTGGATTCCGGCTCGTAGTGGTGACACCAGGTCTCATCTCCGGTGACGATGCTGTCCAGAAACTTGTCACCTTCAGCCTCAAACTGGTGCAACAGGTCCTGACAGACTTCCATTTGATGAATTTTGTGGTCCTGTGTAAGCATCCGCGTGGGATCCACTTGGAACAAACTTTGCGATAATCCAGCTTCCCCAACATCGTTTCCAATGCATTACAGCCGATATTAAGCCGTGCACACAGCTCCCTGGTCGTTATCTGCCGATCTGTACAGATGAGCTGATCGAAGTGCTGTTCATTGTGAGGAGTGGCAGCTGAGCAGGGACGCGGACGTGGCTTGTCGTGCACTTCACTTTCGCCACTGTTGAAACGCACTACCCACCGCCTCACTGCGCTGACATCCACTGTATTGTCTCCGTACACCTTTAGCAAGTGTCGATGGATGTCAGTGGGTACAATTTGTTCGGCCGTGAGAAATTCAATAACTCATCTATGTTTCATACGCAGTTCTATGTCAGACACCATTTTGGTAGACTGCTCTGCTGTCGCTATCTGTCGCACGACAACCAAACTAACAGTATATTGGCGGGAAGGTTCAACCTTTACTACAACAGCACCAACGTCCAGCTCAGATATTACATATTAACACAAAAAAATAGGAAGCATTATATACGGGATGCCATTCGTAAAAAGGTAAAGTTATCCCTGCACTTAATGATAAATCGAGCGCTATACCATGAAGGCATGCGGGTCCTCAGCACTAGGTGGTGAGGGGTCAGTTTCTCAAGACAAATTAATATAAAAGAATAAGGGATATGTTTTTAGAGACTTTTAGAAGCGCAACTAAATTATTTCCTAAGAAACAACATTTCCCTTAAAAATTTAACTGATCTCTTAGTTAAGACCTTCATCTATTGAGTCCGTTGACAGAATTTATTGTACACTTCTATGTGACAATTGTACTGAATTCAATATTCTCATGTCGCTGATTACGTGAAGTACAATATTCTGAAATGTGCCGTCACGTAGTCTAATAGAAGTTTTGCCAGAGTACAAGAGTCAAGCCAAAGAAGATACGAGTACATAGGACAGTTTTATTTTACAAGCATTACCATGAGTGAATTTGACTCACTTTAATTTGTTTTAAGCAGCACATGAAATAAGGGTCCAGTACATTTTTGGCTGTATGTCTCCTACAGACATCAACATGAGAAAAAAATGTAATGAATGATAATCACAGGGAGACGCAGCGTTTTTTCTGAGAGATTGGAACTTAATTTCTAAATATTTTAAAATGTTGTTTATACTCCGGATTAAAAACTCATTAGCAACCTGTAATAAAAATACCTGTTGACTTTGCCCTGCAAAATCATTGTCCAAGCTTCCGCTACCGCCCCGCCATCTAGCTGTTATCGGCACAACTACAACGCATTGCGTGTAGGCCTGCCTGGTCAACATGTCTTGTAATATGAAAGTGAAATACACGTTATTAATGCTACTTCTAACAGTGCACTTGCCCATTCCTCTTGGTTCAGAATAGAATGTTTTATGTACGTAGGAAAGGAGTACATTCTGACTGATTTCCTATTTCGTAAGGAATTATATGATTACAAGATCGTAATAACAGCTGAGACTTGAAATTGTATTATTTTCTGTTCTCCTTCCTAAATTTCTAAACGAAATGTAATTATCCACTACAATGAGTTTCTTTCGTAGAAAGTAATAACTTAACTCCATCCATATTACAGTTTGTGTAATTCAGTTCGTTTCAGGGGCCACACAGCCACTAATTAAACTGTGTAGCTTCATGAAGGAAATAGAGAAAGAAAATCGACTGTGGGGTTCATTTGTCTGCATTAGATCGGTTAATTAATTAGGCACATCTGTAACTTCTTAGACGTTTTTAACAGCGCTGAATATTGCTTGTTTATCTCTATCATTTACTCCAATTCAGCCAATTGTAAGCCTGACAACGTCTGCATTTTGCACATGAACGATTCAGTAGCCATGCTTCAAGATGCGTTTGTGTTTAGGCCTACATGTCTCTGTGTTTCCGCAATAATTTCAAAAGCGAACTTTCAGAGAGTTGTTTTCGCGATGCTACCAATTATATAAATGCAGCTTCAAATTAAAATGCATCAGAACCTAATACATGTCATTCCTTTATAGTAGTCTGAGATAAATACTTCGTAATTTACTCCCCGTATTGCGGGCTGTCAAGGGATAACATTTTGCTTTATAACTGCTTTTTCTGAGACCTTCAATAAGCAAGTCATTCATTTTCCTTTGTTTAGAATTGTTTCTTGCTGAATCCTGCTTTGCTCTTTCCCAGCACAATTTGTTTATAAACAAGCTGAAATCTCGCAGTTTTCATCGGTTTAGTTTACATAGTTATGTCCAAAATAAACAAACTCCGTGGTCTGTAATCCGTAAGCGAACTACACCGACCGAGCGACTGACACTTGTCAGCGAAGTTAGTGCCAAATTTTTCGATAGAGGGTGTCGCACGGTCAGCGCAACGGACCCTCACGGCCGTTAATCTCGGTTTTATAGACCGGACCTGCTATTTCCTTGAAATAGCTCCTCAATTATCCTCAAGAGGCCGAGTGGACACCGTTCCAGACCCACTACTTCTCAGAAAATATTGTAGCGCCGGGAATAGAACCAGGGGCCTCTGGATCTGTAGCCATGAACTTGGATCACTATACCAGAGAGGCGGTCGGAGAAATCTCAGGGCTAGGGACGAAACGAGGGGATTTCAATCCGCTGCAGGGGTAAGAAATTTTTTACCTGGGGTAAAGCGGGCTGTGCGTGAAGCCGACCACTCACCTCCATCTAGTGCCGAAGTCAAGAATAGTGGACCTATACCCCCATTCCCACATTCGTCTTCATGTCATAGTGCTTAATTAAGTACAGTAAGAAATTTACCTTTTACCTCACACGAGGTTTATCGGAAAGATCCCGGACTAGGTCAATAAAGAAATGCTGGCTTAACTTACTTAATTTTTGCTGCCATCTCCTACAAAGTAGTCTCCTTGGGAAGGTATACAGAGATCCCATAGTTTTTTCCACGCTTCAAAAACACCTTGGAAGTCCTTTTCCTTAATGCTGTCGAGTACCGCTTGCAGTTCCCTTTGAATGTCAGACATTGTTTCAAAACGTCGTCCCTTCAGTTTAATTTTCAATTTGGGAAAAAAAAAAAAAACGAAATTATAGGGGGCTAAGTCCGGGGAGTAGGGAGGATGGGGAATGGTAACAGTGCTCTTGTTAGTCACAAACTCTGTGATATTTTAGGGACGTGTGGGAAGTCGCGTTGTCGTGGTGAAAGAGCAATGTGACGCATTTTAAAATTTTCCTGGAAACTCCATAATTGATCCCAACGGAGTCTGCGAGCTCACGAATTTTTCGGCAACGGTGGAGTGTATGAGTTCTCGATTTTTTTTTTTTAATATTTTCTGTCATTTTGCTGGTGCTTTGCCTCCCTGAACGTTCATCATCTTCAACTGACACTCGACCTGCCTTGAAACGTGAATGCCATTCAAAAACCACTGTCCGGCTTGAAGAATGTTCTCCAAAAGCCTCGCGAAGCATTTCAAGGGTTTCGGTAGCCGATTTACCGAGCTTCACGCAAGAACTTGATGCAGACATGTTGCTCGATTTTGCCATCCATCGCAGACAAAACGAAACACGCAGTCGAAAATGCACTCGTGTAAAAGCAGTGCGTGTTCACAGCGCGGTGTCATGTGGCAGACTGATGGAAGAGGCTTGCGGAAGTGCTACCTTGGCCTGCTCTCTCATCTTCTTTCATCGAGGCAGTTGCAAAAATAAGTCCGGGAACTTTCCGATACCACCTCGTATTGTATTGAGTGAAAGCTTTTATGAACTACAGATTGTCACTGAAATCCACTGGTGTTATCGTAATATTTATATTAATATTACTATCACTACTATTACTATTAATATAGTTTTTATTGTTATTACTGTCCTGTATTGTTTCATTCATTTTTGTTTGATTATACCAACTCTGTAATATGCTCCTGTAGCTGTTCAGTTAGCACGTAGAAGTAACAAATTGAATAGTATTATTATTAATTAAATTACGTAGTATAGGTAGTCTCAGGATGTTGAATATACAGAAGTACCAATAAAATAAACAAATTAACTGTTGCTTCTTCCATACGTCTTCCATCACCGCCCTCATACCTCCTCCTCCCTTTCTGGGCCATGACACATGCGCTTGGCGATCGTCTGCTTCGAGAATCGTTGTTCAAAATTATTCCAATAGAGGGCGATAGAGTTGCATTTACGAAGAAGCGGTATGATCGTTATAATGTCAATGAAATGTCAAATGAGCATTGGTGTAGGAGAAGCTAAGCTATACTGCTAAGAGTAGTAATTATTTTTCTGGCATCTTGTCTTCAGAAACCAGCAATGAAGTATGACGTTTCAAACTTGTTGTATTATAAGTCAAGTGAATACGTCCATTAGCATACGGGTGAGAAATTACATACGGTGCGATAAATCTTAACGTCTTCCACATAAATCTGGTGTGTCAGAGAACATTTTTATCGGTACATTAACTTATTTTGTATTGAAGTCAGTTAGAGTGGCTAGTGTCAAAAGGGACCCACTTATTAAAATATCTGTAGTATCCAGTGCACGGGATATTGAAGCTGTTGTCTGGAGAAGACGAAATATAGTAATGAGTGATCAAGACGTGGATGATGTTGCTTTCTTGACAGGTAGGCCAAAGACGAATCTTACCTTCAAGTTTAACACATAAGGTAGATATCGTAGAAGTCGTCGTTTGAAAGAGATGATGATTCTGAAGGCCCTGTTTCTAAGTAACGTATCATTGATGTCATTGCAGGTGATAGTCAAACTGGCATCAACAAACGAAGTCTCTATGAGCATAATGGGGTTGCTGTATGCTCTCAGAAGAGGGCAATGTTCATTGCAACAATTGTATTTGCTACGCTGTTTGTCATATCTCTCATCATTGCATATGCAGGGCCCCAAAATGGTAATTATTTTAAAGTAATTTTAAATGTGAAGATTCTTGGGAAGAATCCATTTGATAAAATGTAATTGTAATATTGTCTAACTATCTGGTCTTACAGAGTGCCCTTGTGCAGGAGAGAAACCCCATGACTTGGGAGAAGAGACATTGTCAAACTCTACAGGACAAGCAGTACCACTTGCAACCAATGGTGAGGTGTTCCCATGGAACAATGTTCGGCTTCCGAACTTTGTTCGACCTACTCGGTATACCATTACAGTTCACCCAAATCTTACAACACTGGAAGTCAAAGGTAAGCAGTTTCATAATATTACAAATTGTGTGCTATGTTATAGTTTATATTGAGCTGTATGAATATGAATTTATATGTTCTGTAACATTCCACACCAAATGTGAGAAATCCTGTAGTTAAAGTTTGAATATGAAATGGAACAAGATTAGAATGTAACTGACTGCTCACTATATCTAGTTAGTGTTTGTAGGAGAAGCAATTTTTGTTTAAGGAGACAAGGAAAACTTCTTACATTAATTCCAGTAATTTGTCCCTTAAACCCAGTCTCCCACTTGGCATCTTGAAAATGATATTTTCCTGAAAAGTCATAAATCAGAGATTTTTTTTTCCATTGACTCATTGTTAGGATGGGATTGCTCTTCTGTGGTGAGCTTGGCAATATTAATAATTGTTTCTCAGATATGGAGAGTCATGGACAGCTGACAAGGAATTATACTACTACTACTACTACTACTTACTACTACTACTACTACTACTACTACTACTACTACTACTACTACTAACAACTCCAAACAATAAAAAATAATTTTGTTACAAAATGTTAAGAAGGGCCTCAGACTTGAGGGCTTTTTGAACATGGCAATGAACCTTCAGGTTCTATAAATGTTGGGAAATTCATGAATAACTGTGCAACTGGTGGCTTCTCAACAAGGGCTCATCTCCATGGAGTTAGTTATTTATTTAAAGGTGAAGTGACATTGTATTAACACAGAAAAGACATTTAAATACATAAATATAATGTAACACTTACTGTTATACTCAAATCTCCATATGGGAGGTCAAGATGTCCAATTTTCAGAATGACTGAGGGTGATGTGCAGGACACAGAGGAAACTGCATACATGTGGGAACACAGTATGTAAATATTGAATGCTCTGAATGTGAAGACCATGGACATGAATGAATGAATGAATGAATGAATGAATGTACAAGGGGTGGGCCCTCTTGGCCCTTGCACCACGACCACAGTTATCTATTGTGCTTCCCCTTTTGATTATCCCCTCAGCAATCCTGCGCTTCATTTGAAGTGCAGGATTTTTGTACATGGGGACATCAAAATAGTCACTTGGTTCCATAAAGTATTGACTATTGACCCAAGAGATGTAATCTTAAATAAGCTAAGGCCTCACATTCACACGGGTTATGTGTGGCTGTTTCATTTTCTTCTTGACCCCTCTCACAAGTGGGACTATTACTTAGTCCCAGTTTGAAGAGGTGTCCTTTAAGGTGACAGTGTCCTGTAAGTAGTCCTACCACCCATCGTAGCTGGTTCCTGTTTAACTTCAACAGTTTTTTCGCTCTTAGTAGAGGGTCCTTATGTGAGTCCCTTTGCTTGCATGAGCCCAGTCAAGGATCCCCAGTATTTCTTGTGATTCATATTTGTCCAGTCCCTGATTGCCTTTCAGGCAACTCCTATAGAGATGCCACAGGCTGGTTCAGGTCCTATGAATGGAAAGACCGTGGACATACTGTAATACATGAACTAAAGATGTGCGGATTGGGCTGTAGCTATATATAGTACTGACAGGATATGAGAGATACTTCCAAATAAGGTGTATGTACTGACATGTGTGTTGGAGTAATTCTGACCAAATGTAGGCCTATAGTTCGTACCCTTCCTGCTTCATGATCAGGAAATTCTTACTCTAAATTTCAGTGGAAGAACATGTTCACACTGAGGTATCCTTAGGCCTTACACGTGAATCCCAAGTTAGTAATTTGAAACACACTATGCAGGCTTTATTCTCTTCCCTCTCAACTTCTCCACCTCACAAACCACAACTTTACTTACATCTCCCATAACCTGTACCTTTTTCTTTTTTGTTAAATTTCAGAATACCTTGCTACCTTACTATTTTTCAAGGCAGTTTCTTGCGCTTCTGTGATTCTCTGTACTGCATAAGTTAGAGTGTGATCTTTTTTGTCATTTTCACTCATCTAGATGGAGAGGCAGCATGTTCCTCTAAACTACTGGTAAGCTTCTACAAGCCTACCGTATGTCCAGAAAGTATCCGACTTTATTTTTTTCCGCTGTAAGTAATGGCCAGAGGGGCAAGGAAACTGAGCGTAGTGGTAGAAGGGACTTTCATGTGCATGCGTGATTTTTTGCTGACTCGCAACACTGCCAGATAGCGAAGTGGTGTAACACATGTTCGTTGCATTCTCGTTTCGCTCAAGATGACAGAACGCTTGGAGCAATGATACTGCATTCAGTTTTGTCAGAAACTTTGGGATACCCAAGCAGAAACATTTCGCAAAATTCAGCAGGCTTTCGCTGATGATGCAATGGGGGTCACTCAAATTAAAGAGTGGTTCAACCACTTTAAACATGGCCGTATGTTGGTGGACAGTGAGCAGCGTTCTGGGAGACCGTCAGTGAGTTGAAATGCTGATGTCATTGAAAAACCGCGGATGCTGATCATAGAGGACCGTTGTTTGATGAGGCTGGGATCAGCAGAGGTTCCACAAACACAGTTTTAACAGGATTTGGGCATGTGAAGAGTGGGGGCAAAATTTATGCCCAAGCTGCTCTCGCTGGAGCAGCAACAACTCCGTCTTGAGGTCACGCAGGACATGCTGGAGTGTGCCAACAGGGATCCTGAGTTCCTGGAGACTTTGATCACTGGTGACGAGTCGTGGATGTATGGATATGACCCGGAAACCAAGGTCCAGGCATCACAATGGAAGCATCCAACATCCCCGAGGCCCAAAAGAGCACGACAGGTTTGGAGCAATGTGAAGGTGATACTGACTGTTTTTTTCAATTACCGGGGTGTTGTGCATCAAGAGTATGCACCACTAGGCCAGACTGTCATTAAGGAGTACTATCAAGAAGTCCTCCGCCATCTTCGTGATGCAGTTCGGCGCAAGAGACTGGAGCTGTGGGACGCACGCAACCGGAAGCCGCATCATGACAATGCCCCAGCTCATCCATCACACGTGCTCCAGGGCTTACTGGCCAAGCACGGCATTCTGCACGTTTGCCAGGCTCCCTACTCTCCTGACATGGCTCCTTGTGATTTCTGGCTGTTCCCGAGATTGAAGACACCGCTAAAAGGCTGCCATTTTGACAGCCACAAGGACATCATACGGAACGCGACGGCACAGCTGCACGCCATTCCAAAAGAAGCCTTCCAGAATTGTTTCTAGCGATGGAAGGACTGCTGGGCTAAGTGTGTGGAGTCACAAGGGGCCTACTTTGAAGGCAATTAGGTAGTGTAACCACCCATATACAGAACTTTTTTTTTCCCGGCCCAAGGCCGGATACTTTTTTGACAGAGTAGTACATAAGTATCATAAAGCAGGAGACCACAATCTCAGTTTCCACCACTGCAAAGACCTCAGTCTCTTCTTTTTGCTGGTTAAGTTTTGCTTTTGTTAAGTTACATTATGTTGTCAGGTTGTGTTAGTTGTCCTTACCTTAATGTAAGAATTCCAAGACAAAATCTTATACTGAGAAAGTGTACAGAATCACAGATATTAATTTTGATAATATTGACACATGCAATATCTTCGGATACATTTAACTTCATTGGCTGTGTTTTGCAGTATTGTTACAGCACAAACGCATGGTCAAGTTGGCCAAATGCTGCACTATTTCAATGCTGATACCGTGTACCCCAAGTTAAAAGCTGGTTGCCAGCCCCATAGTACCTGGGAAAATTTCTAATCTTCTGTTCCGTAACAATAAGGGTTAGACATATTCATGAATTCTCTTATCACAATATGTCTCACTATATTGAAATTGCTCTGCTTTTCAGGTCAGGTGACAATAGAATTTCATGTAGAAAAAGAGACCAATTTTATTGTCTTCCACAGTAAAAATCTGACAATAACAGAAAAGGTAAGCATTGTATTCAACTTTTGCATCTGATGTGTACATATACATATATATAGGCATTGTGTATGACCATGTGCTGGATTATGATTTAGGAAGAGCTTTCTGTCTAACGTTGGTACTCATCTAGGAAATGAATATAATTAAGAATAGCTATAGTAATGAGTATAAGTATTCCAGAGTTGTTAAATGGGTTCAAGTGAAGTGCATTTCTTTCTCTTTTTATTTGGCTTTTTAGGCTTTCCTGTTTCTGAGTTCTTTTTGTTTGTTTTTTAACATTACTGTCAGTATCCATACCATACAGCATTGATGAAAGGATTATTATTATTATAATTATTATAATAATTATTAATGAATATGGAGCAGCTGGTGGAGGGAGAATTGGCAGGTGAAACTGAAGTACTTGAAGAAAACCTGCCCCAGTGCCCCTTACTCCACCACATAGCCCACTTAACCTGACTTTGGATCGAACCCAGGCCTTTGTAGCAGGTCTCCACCTCCCCATATTTTAGGTGTAAGATTATAAGGATGCTACTTTTCTTCTCAAATTTTAATGCAATTGAGAATGCTTGTAGACTCTTTAAGATTTATGTAGAAATGTAGTATATGGCTGAGTAAATTTAATCTTTATGCCTTGGAATGTTATAATTAATGCTGATGTAATTTCATACAAAAGTAAAGTAGACAGTCATACATACCAATTTGTCAAGTATGGAATTTTTTGATGTAATTATGGCTCAGTTATGAATGATTACAGTCTTCTGGGATGTGACACTATGTAGTCTGATTCATGTTTACTGATGTTCTGAAGGTACGTGCTGGCCAAGAATGGATGCAGTACCTTCCTCCAGAACATCTGTAAACATCTCCTTGTCCTCATAATGTCACTTCCCAGAAGATAATAATCTTCACGGTCACCACTGTGACAACTTCAAATCTCTCATGCTTATGTTAGTATAGTTAACTTGTCATATACTAATAACAAGTATGACTTTCAGGTGCAGTGTTATTTCATGGGACTGACTCATTGATCTTCTCCTAATAGTTGTAATCTTTCAGCCATCCATCCCGTTGCAATACTAACCTAATTGAACTTGATAAAATGAAAATCTTCTCCTAATAGTTGTAATCTTTCAGCCATTCATCCCGTTGCAATACTAACCTAATTGAACTTGATAAAATGAAATGCTTTCTGCTACACTTAACGTACATAGAGCAAATACTCCACGACATTATACTGTGATATACGCTGGACACTTCAGTTTATTGGTCTGAAAGTGTCTGGATTATTTTAATTTAAATGGCATGTCGAAGGGCTGAATTTGTTAAATACAGTTCCGAGGCCATCTAGTCTATTAATTCAGGACAGAAAGGTTTAACTTTCTTGTATGTTGGGTTTGTGTAAGGATACGTAAGTGTAAAATAAAACTCAGATTTTAATCAAGACTGTGCATGTCTAACATAATGTGGATATATGCTAAAAAGATTGAAATACATTGGTCATCCATGACATAGAATCCTTCAAAATTTGGATAAAGTTGGTTCATGAGACAGTCATTGGTAGATCAGATACTTTTCAGTTAATTGTACTTCTTTATTTTGATAAAATTAGTGTGTGTCTAATACTGCACCTGTAAAATGTATATTTGGCATGGTGGTAAAGCTTTATACATATTTAATCTTGTAAGTAGAAATAACTGGGTGATTAGTTTCATGTTCGTCCTCTTCAGACCTTCCAGTTTCATTTTGAATATACTCTTAAATGAAAATTATTTTGGAGTCAGAATTAGTCTTCACTGTGAAACGAATCTTAATCTGTGTAAGAAATTAATGATAATTGATGTTTTTTTCTTTAGAATGTTCAGAATGGAAAAGGTCAGCTATTAAATATAACAAGACTGTTAGAATATCCAGCTGCCCAGCAGATGTACTTGCAAGTCAAGGAAAAATTCAGAAGGAGAGGTCATTACACCTTGAATCTTCGTTTCCAGTTTTGGCTTTCACGTGAGCTGGAAGGCTTCTATATTAGCAGTTATCACACAAAGGATGGTGAAACCAAGTGAGGATTCATTTCCTTTATTTTCCATATATCCATACAGGCAAAAATCCTAGGATGTGGAAATAGTCCATTTGATTATAGATGTATACATGTAATAGATTACATAAGTCACACAACTAAAATAACACACACCAGTTAACTAACATAGGTAATATAAAAAAAAAACAAAACAAAACAAGAGCTTATTACAATTGTAACTAAACATAATTTAAAAAGTGCATTACTATAAAAACTTAAAATTAATATAATTTTCCCATAAATCAAAATACATTGATACAGGACTCGTCATATACATACATACACATCCTCCACTTTCCATAAACATCCATACAGGGAACAAACCCAGGATGTGGAATTAGTCATCAAAGACATACACAAAGTCACACAAGTCACACCGCGAAGATCACCCACATTAATTATCTAGCACATACAACAATACAAGGCAAAAAAAGTAAACAAACATAAGTCACAAGTAGCCACAATACAACTCCTCACATCACCCTTACCAACTATATTAAAATGTGGCGTTAAGCATTCAAATTTATGTGCCTTTGTAATTAAAATACTCATTTAATGTATAAAAAGAGTTAGCATGTAAAAATCTTTTTAGGGAACGTTCAAAGGATTTCTGGTTATTAGATAATTGTTTCAGCTCTTTAGGCAGATGATTGTAGATTTTTATACCAGAATAATATGGACCCTTTTGAACTTTAGTAAGAGAAGTACTCGGGGGAAATAGGTTAACATTTTGTCTGGTACCAATATTATGAACCTCCGTATTTCTTGTGAACAAATGCATGTTATTTGTAGTGTGTTGCATTAAGGAATATATGTATTGCGAACACAAAGGCAGAATTTTCATTTCCTTGAAAGAGTCTCTACATGAATCTCTTTTCTTTAATCCCATCATAATCCTTATAATTTTCTTTTGGATCATAAAAAGTTTCGTCATGTATGAAGAATTGCCCCAGAAGATAATTCCATATGTCATCACAGAATGTATATAAGCAAAATAAATCATTCTTAAGCTACTTAATGATATCATAGGCTTAACTGATCTCATGAGAAAGCAAGACGAACTCAATTTTGTAACCAGGTAATCAATATGATACTTCCAACACAGCCTATTATCAATATTTAGGCCTAAAAATTTAATACACTCTAAGTTAGTTGGTAAATTTTGATCAATATTATTATGCATATTATGATCCTCATAGTTCATTAAAGTGAAATGGAGAGTGTGGGTTTTATGAATATTTAATTTTAGCAGATTGGTTCTGAACCATGTATTAATATTGTAAAATATTCTGGTCATGGCTGATTTGTAGTCAGCGTATTCCGGATTAGTCACAATTATACTTGTATCATCTGCATATAAGAATATGTTTGTTCCATTAATTGAAACCTTAGTTATGTCATTTATATACAAGAGGAAAATAAGTGGGCCAAGAATTGAACCTTGGGGTACGCCAAATTTTACTTCTGCCCAACTAGACGAGCTATTAATAGAACTGTTAGGGACAAGGGTTACTCTTTGATATCTTCCATTCAGGTAAGATTTAATTAAGGCACCAAATTTGCCAGTTATTCCATAAAACTCTAATTTTTTGATAAGTATATCATGATTGATGCAATCAAAGGCTTTGTGTAAGTCGCAAAATATTCCTCCAACAAACTGTCTATTATTCATTGCTTTTAGTATTTCCTCTATTAATTTGAAAGATGCTTTCTCTGTAGATGAATTAGGTCTAAAACCATATTGATTATTGTCCAATATAAGATTATTGTCTATATGTTCATACAATTTGTTATAGATAACCCTTTCAAGAACCTTAGAAAAGGCTGACAATAATGAAATAGGCCTATAGTTGGCTGGTTCATATTTATTACCACTTTTGAAAATTGGCTTAACGACAGCAAATTTCATTCTGTCTGGAAACGTTCCCTGGGCAAGGGATTGGTTACAAATGTAAGTTAGTGGCGAAGTTATATATGGCATACTTGCTTTTAAAATTCTAGTGGAAATTTCATCATAACCATGTGAAGACTTGGTTTTCAAAGATTTGATTATCTTTCTAATCTCAGCAGTTGAGACATACTGCCATTTGATAGATTTAAAGGTAGACGTGTATTTATTGCCCAGATAGTATAATGGGCTGATGTTGGTTGGAGTTTTGTTATTGTTTAAATCATCTATAATTGTCTGAGCTACTGAGGTAAAATATTCGTTAAGTACGTTTGCAATGCACTTTTTATTCTGTATCATAATGTTATTGACTTTCAGCGACTGGGGTTCATCCTTCTGAGTTTTAGATCCAGTCTCTTTTTTAATAATTGACCATGTAGTTTTTATTTTATTATAAGATTTTGAAATTTTATTATCATAGTGTACTTTCTTAGCCTCTTTAATAACTTTAGTAAGTACTTTACAGTATTTCTTATAATACAGTTTAAAATGTGGATCATCATCTTGTCTATATTTAATATACAACTTCCTCTTTTTTTCACAAGAAATTCGTATCCCTTGAGTCATCCACGGGTTACATTTAAGTTTGGAAGTAATAATTTTCTTTTTTGTAAAACATGAGTAAAATATTCTCAAGTAAGTATTAAGAAATACATTAAAAGTATTGTTTACATTGTCATTTGTAAAAACATCATCCCATAGTTCATAGCTTAGCATTTCTTGAAATTTAATTATATTATAATTACTATAATTTCTCATGTACTGAGGATTACCTACTTGTTCGGATGATATTATATTATCAATTATTATCATTTGAGCATCATGATCAGATAGTCCGTTAATTATTGGTTTAACTGTATAATTTCTAGTCTTTTTTATATATATGTTGTCAATAGCAGTTTTTGATACCTTAACAATTCGTGTTGGAAAATTAACCGTGCCTATTAGATTGTAAGTATTTAAGAGCACATCAAGTTGTTTCCTTCTATCGCAATTTTCTAGATAATTTATATTCACATCACCACATATAACATATTCGACTTTATTATTATGTAGGATATTTATTAAGTGTGAAGTTTCAGGTTTCATATTTATTAAGTTGTTTGGAAGATGAATGCAGTGAACACATATCCATTTGTTGCATGTCACAACAAACTTGAAAGTTTGCATCACCATGCTTCATTCATCATCTACACATGAGCCCAGCATACTAACCTATGATCTACATTATATTTTACTGGATTATAAACCTGCATCATCTAAGTGTAACATTAAAACACTAGGTTTGTTTCATATAGGCAGAGGTTTATTGTGCTGCTAAATATAAGGGACCCAAGACTTAAGTGTCAGATTTTGCAGACATAAGCTACAGGCATAGGTTTTATAATGTTTTGTTGCAAGCAGGAGGCAGAGAATGTTGTGCCTTTGCAAAGTATTGTCAAAGTGCAATATGCTGGTAAACAGGTGGTGTCAGATTTTGCCTAATGAAATTCAGGTGGGAGATCTCATAACATTGTATCACTTTTAGCTTTGTTTCTTTTGGTTGAATAGTCGGTCATTCACACGAAGAGTTGTGTCTTTTAGGCCATAATGGAATGTAAGAAAAAAAAAGGGCAAAGCCCTCCCTGTAACAGGCCATGGAGGCCCATATGGTTGCGGGACATTGAGGCTTACAGATTTATTACACAGTCAGCTTACAGATGGCGGTAAGGTTGTCAGCCTTATGCACCGGCTGCCCTCTATCCCCCAGGAAGATTCCTGGTACTCATTTCTGTTAGAGGTTGATTCAACTCCATTGCCATAATACAGCTGGAAGGATTAGGTCAATTGAAAAATCCAGTGACCTCATCAGGAATCAAATGTGTGACCTTCTGGCTTCTAGCATAGTGCCTCAACCAGCTATGCTATCACATATCCACATGATACCATGTAGCCCGTTAATAATTAACCAGCATATGTTGTCTCCATCTTCAGGATCAAAGAATAAGCCAAGCAAGCTTGCAGCAAACAGCTCTGCCTGCTTCCTACTTTTTGCTGGTTACTTACTTGGCTTATACTTTGATCCTGAAGATGGTGGCGATATTTCCCTTCAAAATCTAAGCTAATTTTCAACAGACTTCATTACATTATATCCCAGAGGCTAGAACTTTTCATAATTACTGCTGTCTGAACCTCAAATCATACACAGTCACTCGCATGGCGCCATGTTTTAGTCCTAGTTTGGATGTAGACATTATACTTTGTACAAATATGTTGCCTGAAAATGATGAAAAACTGCAAGAAATATATAAAATTTGATTTTGTGAATAAGCGTAGTGGATTGTCAAAGGCCTTCCATTTTGCCAAACATTGTGTTTTCCATCTTCGTTGTCATTAACCCTGGCCAGAGTTGTACACTAAACATTACCATGAAAACCCAAGGACAAGAATTACCATAAATATTCTTACAGATTTCAGATAATCTGATAGTAAATATATCATAATCCATTTATGTATTATATTTCAGTTGTTATGAAATATTAATTAATTTTGCTCAAATATATACTTTTCAAAACTTCTTTCTTTTATAATCATAGCATTTTATTAGTGTTAACATATAAATACAGTACATTTAATAATCCTTGATTAATTATTTCCTTCATTTAATGTTTAATTTCGATGTTTGCAAGTCGGTTAACTCGCCATTAAATTATCTCCATTTAAGATCTTCTCAGTTTTTTGTTCAAATCTTCTAGTCTGCAAAGGAACCTTAAATAGGAATTTCACTCATTAACGGTGAAACACTCTGGAGATCGAAATGTCTGTATTAGTAGCAATAATAGTGGTAGTATGCATTAGTAGAAATGTTATGTTTATGTTACAAAAATGGCTGCAAGCTGAAGAATATGTAGTGGTATGGGACAGATAGCTGTCGTGATATATACGTATATTAGTAGACAAGAACGCACAAAATTACTTTCTGACATAGTTTTTCATTTGTGTTATTACATTGCAGATATTTAGCAACTACACATTTTGAACCGACATATGCCAGATCAGCTTTCCCTTGCTTTGATGAGCCACAGTTCAAAGCACGATTCAAGATGTCAATATTCAGAGATAGGTTCCACATAGCCCTCTTCAACATGCCTGTCATCAACACAGAAGATGCTGGCTTCTACATGGGGACTGGTCTGGTTAGCTTGTTATAATCATAATGGATTGTGTGTTTAATTGGAGTGAGAATATGTTTCAGTATTACACTTAAGTGTGTTAGTTTTCTTCTCAGTGGTAACTTTATGTGTGGGCCACAATGTGCTCAGTCCTATTTACTTACTCTTAATGTCATTGTGAAGTGATTTTGAAAGCAGAAAGAAGTAGTACCTAAAATAGTACATGCAGGGAGGGATTTTGAATGCCAGTCCTGGGTGATTCCCCACAATATGCCACTCTTTGCATAGGTGTTAACGATTTTTTGCAAGCCATGTAATTTCTTCAACAGTACCTAAACTGCTCTTCTCCAATCCTTACTACACCAACACCCATGACCAACTGCGTAACCTTGAATCAAAGACTGGAATATACTTATGAGGAATTTACTAAGAGAATGTAGAACCTGTAGTAGCGGGTTTAACGTACAGATTTGGACTTTTGTATCATCTTGACTTACCAAAAGATATGGGGTCTAAACCTGTCCATTCCTCTCAGAATTCTTTGTTGTGTAAAACTGGATGAGGACAAGCTTTCTTGTTGTTTCTCTTTCTGTATACTCTGCTCTCCATTATGCACTGATGTCAGCTGTGGTAAAGTTGTATTCTATGTCGATACCATTGTTTGTACTTCATCATTATTAAGAAGATTTCCAGCCTTCTGCTTTTTCCCAGATTAGTTGCTAAATATGTTACCAATAATACTAGTCAATAACATTATGAAATCATAAAAGAAAATTAACTTTAAAATTAATTCTATTGTGCCAATTCCATATCTGCACATGAAGGTCCTCTGTCATGTTGCAGTTATGTATGTGGTGTGTTAAAAAAGAATCAAACCTTTGGTCGGCAGAAATACATTTATTGATTTGGAGGTACAAAACCCTAATCCCCTTCAAAATAGTCTCCTTGGTAATAAACACACTTCTCCCAGCGCTTCCGCCCTTGTTGGAAATACTTCTCGGACGTGTCCTTTGGAATGGTGATCAGCCGGACCGTCACATTCCGCATGATGTCTTCCCTTGACTCAAATCGGGTTCCTTTCAGCGGCATTTTCAGCTTGGGAAATAGCCAAAAGTCACATGGAGCCATGTTGGAGGAGTAGGGAGCCTGACAGACCACAGGGATGTTGTGTTTGGCGACAAAAGTCTGAATCAGATGCACAGAATGGGCGGGTGCATTATCGTGATGGAGCTGCCAAGTTTTTGCTGCCCACAGATCCAGTCGTTTGCGCCGCACAGCATCACGAAGGTGATGCAGGACCTCCTGGTAGTATTCCTTTGTGATGGTTTGGCCACGGGAGTCGAAGAACATGACCTTGACATTGCTGCGGACTTGCCATGCTCTTTTTGGCCTCGGGGATGTCAGATGTTTCCACTGTGATGACTGCATCTTGGTTTCTGGGTCGTACCCATAAACCCGCAACTTATTGCCTGTGATCACGGTGTTCAGAAAGTTGGGGTTACTGTTTGCATTGTCCAGCATGTCCTGTGCGATTTCCAGATGGCGTTGCTTCTGCTCCATTGTTAGCAGTTTCGGTACGAATTTCGTGGACACTCTCCTAATGCCCAAATCTTCGGTCAAAATTGAATGTACCAATCAAATGCTTACGCCTATCTCGTTCGCAAGTTCTCAGACTGTCATACGATGGTCCTCCATGACCAAAGTCCACAGTTGCTCAATGACATTCTCATTTCGGCTTGTTGAGGGGCTGCCTGAACGCGGTTTGCTCTCCACTGATGTGCGGCCATCTTTGAAGCGGTTGTACCACTCCTTTATCTGTGAGTTGCTCATGGCATCGTCCCCAAAAGCCTGTTGAATCTTGCGAATGGTTTCCACTTGGGTATCGCCAAGCTTTTGGCAAAATTTGATGCAATATCGTTGCTCATGTTGTTCCGTCATTTTACACCTTACTGGATTCCTACGAGCCCTCACTACATGTCCTCGCTCATAGGCCGACTGCCAGCGACTGACACTTTCTGCGGGCAGGAAAAAATTCACGACTGCGCATGAATGTCCCCTCCACATCTCCACCAAAGGGAGCCTCCTGCGCTTAATTGGTTTACGCGGGAAAAAAGAAGGTTCAATACTTTTTGAACACACCATGTATAATGAATTTTGAGCCAGAATAGCACTTTTTTCTCTGCTTTGTGTTCCTGGTGTTCTTTTAATCTTTGTTAACCTTAATGTGAGGAATGATATTTTATTAGTGAATTACAATTTATTCTTATTTAAATAATGTAATTATTTAAAACTGCTAAGTGGTATATAGTTCATGTGGCTTGCATATAGAGAAAGAATCTAACAACAAATCTGTGCTTGTTACAGCTCTTTTACTCAGTTTTATGATCATCATGCCTGATTTATTCAATAGCAGCTGATTTTATATGTGTTATCAAAAAAGAAGTAAAATATTTGTGCATTGTATTTATCCTTATACACCTGCTTGAACATTACTTAACATCAGCAGTTAACACAATGTCAGAAACTAACTAGATAACTGCTTAACCAACATAAACTGAGTTCAGTCATCAAGCAACAGTTGAATATTCATTCCATCTGCAGAAATGAAACTAAACTGTGTATAATTTCAGTTACCATGATGACAGCAGCTTCAGACACCATTAGTGCTTTGCTGTAAACTGTGTTGTAGATATATGAATTTAATATTAATCATCGAATCCATACCATTCTACTATAATTGCTAAATATATATGTAAAATTGTTATAAAATTAAAATCTGATATGAACTGACTGATGTCGTTACAAGAAATGAGGACACTCCACATAACTCTGTAAAACCAAGAATATATGGTCAGTCTTACTTAGTTTTCTCATTTTGATCTCTTGAGTGCCACACCTGGATGTATTCTAATAGCTGCAACTGGTAATTTTGCAAGTTACAAATTATCACATTTTAATCAGTTCTGATATATTTTAATATGTATTGAGGTACTCATAATTAAATTATGTATGAAGCTCTGATACCCATTAAATGTACACCTGTTTTTAAGAGACGTTGATATTTACTTTTGTTTGAAATATTTAATTGAGTGTAGAATTAAAAATGTTATAATTGTTACAGTTACGTGATGATTTTCAAGAATCTGTGGAGATGAGCACATACCTAGTAGCATTTGTTGTTTGTGACTACAAGCGAATCACAAAACAGACTCAAAAGAAGGTCTCTGTGTCAGTATATGCACCTAATGAAATGATATCCCAGGCCAGCTTCGCACTCTCAACTGCAGCAGATGCAATGGATTTCTATGAGGAGTTCTTTGGCATCCCTTATCCACTGCCAAAGCAAGGTAAATTCAAATTATTGCCTGTTATTTTATAATGGATGTGACATGTTCAAGCGTGAAGAGCATATGTAATAGATAAAAAAAGGGTAAAGTTATTTCTTATAACAGGCAATGGAGGCCCATAAGGTTGTGAGATGTCAAGGTTCCCACATTTTATAGACAGATGGTGGTGAGGTTGTTGGCCTTATTCTCTGACTGCCCTTTACCTCCAGAAAGATTCCTATTACTCTATTCTAATAGATGCTAAGTTATCCCAGGACCATAGTGCAACTGGAAGGATTAGGTCAATTGAAAAATACAGTGACCTCATCAGGTATCAAACCCATGATCTTACAGCTTGTGCCATGTTGCCTTGACCAACTATGCTACCTCATGACCCCACGTAATAGATAATGTGTATTATATTCCTGTCAACACAACACTATTTCCAGCAGATGGAGTTTGCTGTCTAGGATGACATGTTTTGGCACATGTGTACCATCTCCAGGTCCGGTTTTTAGTTCCAGCTAATCTGTCATATACTTAGTATATATTTCCGTGTAAGCTGAGTGGATCCATCAGCTTGTTGTACAGTTTATATGAAGTATACTATAATGGGTTTGTTATTGATCTATTGCTTAACACTATAGTTTTGTGGTCACTCTGATCCCTAACCTTATAAAGTGTTCCTTCTTTAGTCTGCTGCCGATTTTGCATGAAAATGGCACTTCACAGGTACACATTCCACTAACTCTTTGTTATTGTTTTAATCAGATTTGATTGCCATTCCTGATTTTGCTGCTGGAGCAATGGAAAACTGGGGATTGATCACCTACAGAGAAACTTCTATCATGTATGATGTGGATGAGACATCAGCAGCAGGCCATCAGTGGGTTGCTGTTGTTGTAGCACATGAACTGGCACATCAGGTACTGAAGTCATAACAAGTAGTTGTTGCTTAAATATCTTCATGTACTTGACTCATAGGCCAGGAATAAATATTATTTGTGATCTAGATTGTAGTTAGTTTCACCACAAATCAAATTTTGACAGCGGGAACCCAAGGTGTTTCTAAAGACCCTATTTTGTTTAAAAGGAGCTGGGATATAATCAGTCAGTATAGCAGTCAGCTACGGGCTCAGTGGCTGGGGTTTGACTCCCAGCAGGGGCAAGAGATTTCTCTCTACTTCACAGCATCCAGACTGGCTCTGGGACCCACCCAGCCTTCTATCCAATGGGTACTGAGGGCTGTTTACCCATAGGTAAAGTGGCTGGGGCATACAGGGTGTCCCAGGAGGAATGTGCCAAACTTCAGGAAGGTGTTCCTTATGTTAAAGTATGCCAATATAACCCAAAACACCTATGTCCATAGTTGAACGGTTACGGAGATAATGACCCGAGAAAAGTGTGGTCTTCTGGCGGGTCCATGCACTGTACCTGTCAGCTGAGACGTCCTGTCTATGTTTGTCCTAGAGTGTAGTGATTCACACTAGCCGTAAGCTCATGTGCTACATACAGAGTATGTTGCGGCCGCGTCGTGAATGTTTGGTAAATTCGTTGTGCGGATTTGCTGAAATGCCTTTTGTGTTTTCACACGTGGAATATTGTGATATGCATTTTGTGTGTGGATTTTGCGGTGGCAATGCACGTGCTGCTGTTGAAGAATACCAAAGGCGTTTTCCCGATCGAAGGATTCCATCTTGAAGTGTATTTACGTGAATTCACCAGACATTGCGTGATACTGGTTCTCTTCCGAGTGTTTCTGTGCCCTCTGAAAGAGAGGATGTACGAAGGATAAACACACGAGAGAACATTCTTGAGATGGTTCAGAGAAGTCCGCGTCCGTCCACTCGTAGAATGGCCTCTCGCATCGGCGTATCACGTATGCAGGTGTGGCGAATTTTGCATGATGAAGAGTTGTATCCTTACCATGATCAAAGGGTACAACATCTGGAACCAGGTGACCATGCTCAGCGTATGGATTTGTGCCACTAGATAAAAGCTCATCCCGAACTGTTAAATGTCATTTTATTCAGTGATGAGGCGTCTTTTACCCGGGACGGTGTAAATAATTTACGAAATGTGCATACGTGGTCCCATAATAATCCACATGAGATAATGGAAACGAAATTCCAAAAGAGATTTTCCGTGAATGTACATTTAATACAGTTATGTAATCGGCTTATACCAGAATGCTCAGTCAGCCATGTTACGTCAGCGCTTGCCAGTCATGTGTCATGTATAGTGCTTGGAACCCTAAGGACAACTATGACATGGCGTGCGAGTTTCTTTGTATTTCAATTTAATGGCTTCATGTCACTTACAATTTAGTTTGATGTTACGTACATTATTAACATTACAGAAACCACATGTTCCTGCCAGTTTTAATATGTATTTGGTAATCAACAAGTGTGTAACACCTGTCAAAGTTTCACATTTCTCTGGACATTATCTCCGTAATCGTTCAACTTTGGACATAGGTGTTTTGGGTTATATCGGCATACTTTAACATAAGGAACACCCTCCCGAAGTTTGGCACATTCTTCCTGGGGCACCCTGTATAGTTGACCACACATCCATCAAGTGCTGAGGTCAAGAATGGTGGAGCTATACTTCCACTCCCACATATGTGTCTATGGTATAGTGTAAAATTATTTTAGTACAGGGACAAGTTTACCTTTTTTACCTTTATCTGTTTTGTTTAAAAAGAAGGGAAACTATGGTAAGAAATTATGAAACCTAAATAACTGAGAGAGAGAAATACCACCCTCCAGCAAAGAGGAAGCAAGGTGAGTGGTGAGAAGAACTCGTAAACCTTGACTTTCTGATGTTTTCAGCTTGCATAGTGCATATGGGTGTTCGTTGGTAATTGCCTTGCCCTTTCACTCCTAGAGGACAGTTAGAGCAAGAGATTGCAGACACTATTGACAGCAGCACTATGTGTTATATAATTCAGTGAACTTTTTCAGTAATGAGCCAGCAGGTAGTAGTATACAGTGAAACCTCGTTAATTCAGACAAGTGTTTTCTTTGCACATTATGACCTCAAGAATCACATTGCTGCAGTCAGCAATTTGTACTAAAGGAACAGTACAAAAGAGAACACAAAAAAATAAGTTGATTTTTTTAACACAGCCTCGATAGCATTAAGTATATAGACTACCTAAAATGTTTTTAAGACTGATGTAAGAACTTATATCTTTAATAAATAAGATCTAAAAGTCTGTGACAATGGTATATGAATACAACTACTGTGTTTTTATTTAAAACCCCATCCTGTTTTTATTGCATATGATATCACGATTGTGGTAGATGTTACATTGGTGAAACAAGCAGACCTTTAGAAATACGCATTAAGGGTCACAAATATAACCTGACACAAGATCTGCTTGAAAAATTAAAATTAGCACAACATGTGTACAGAGAAGGCCACAAAATATGTTGGAAATAAGCGAAGGTCTTGCAGATTGTACCAAACACCACATACAGGAAATACAAGGAATCTTCCCAAATGTCTCTGGTAGATCATCCAACCAATCAACCCAGCTAGGACATCCCTCCCCTCTGGACTCCCATTATTGCGGCAGAAGTCAAAGACTACAACACCATCCAGTGTAGATTAAGTGGGAAAATTGTGTTTTTTATGTTGGTACCATACAGATAATGTATCTCTCTAGTGATGACATCTATTCTGACAGTACCATGATGCATTTGAAGTTTCTTAACATTTTTAATGTTTGTCTTAACTCATGCGGATGGTGTGCTGTGCTTGGTTTGTAGACCCAGTCTGTGTTGGTACAGGTGTCCAAAGATAGGGACTATTTCTGTTGATTGGGCCCAACTAAGTATGTTCCTCCTGAAGACAGAGACAGAATCCAGTCTTCAAAACATGTTTTAAATAAAATCAGGACGTTTTAAACAAAAACAGGATGGTAGATAATGTCTAGAAAAAAAGAAATAGTTGTACTTATATTTTAACATTTTATGACAAGTAAATTTATTTCGTGATATGCAGTCTAAGTTTCAAAATAAAGTTGTATTGCCTGAAAAGACACTTGAAGTCCATTTTATAACTTCCCTGAACATATTTTCAGTAGCACTTCTATAACTATGATTTTTCCTGATTTGGACAAGGGTTTGCTCCCAGTTAGTCTGAATTAGTGAGGTCTTACTCTAATTTGATTCCTAATATTGCCCTTCAGGCATAACTTATATCACTTGTTGAACTGTAGCCAGTGCCTAAGTGAACACTGCAGTTACCGTGACTAGGGTGAATATCTTGATTTCTAGAAGAACAGAATTCAGGCAATTGTGATTTATCTCAGAACCCACATATCCATACCACACCTAAATATTTCTTCAGCAATTCTAAGTAGATTTTTATTACATTCAGTTAGTTATCAGCTAATGTTCTGACATAGATATCAACCAAAGAAGTCAATTCTGCTGCCATGGAAGATTAATTTTTTCTGTTTAGTACTGGTCTCTACCTGTTAAGTATGTATCTACTCATATTAAGTTTGCTGGATGCATCATTATTTCAGTTACCTACTTGATGATTCGGGTCCAAGATAGCTAAGTCAGTATAGCAGTGGGCTACAAGCAGGATGACCATCAGTTCAGTTCCTGACAGGGACAAGAGATTTTTCTCTACTCCACTACATCCAGACTGGTTCTTGGGCCCACCCAGCCTCCTATCCATGGCATTCAGGGCGCTTTCCCCTGGGGGATAAAGAGGCTGGGCATGTACATGATCAGTCACCTCCTTGTAGTGATAAGGTTATGAATGGTGGAGCTATACCTCCACTCCTGTACATCTTCATAGTGTGGTACTTAAGCACAGGGATAACTTTACTTGATGATATAGGGTCTCATGTATGAATTGTGTTTTTTCAAAGTACATTCTCTGTTTAATTTTGAATGAGTGTTTGGTAATTGATGAGTTTTGGTTCTCTATTCTCTGTTCCCTACATTCTTTGGAACTTAAGTGACATGACTCAAACCCGAAAGCCAACATGCAGCATCAGACATGGCATGAAAGTTATTGTCACACATCAAGTGACTAGACATGGGGTTTGGATTGGCAACTGGATTTATTAGACTCTTACAGATCATAACTACATGTAATTATAACATTTTGCTGATTCACACACTTTATGTTTCACCACAGCATGCACCAGATCTTCTCAGTCTGCCGTGTCTTCACCAGTTGTCACCTGGTAACAGCTCCCAATGCTGTAGGTTCCTCAGCTTTCATGTTCATGGCCTTAGTGACCAGCAACTGTGTCACATGACTTGAATAGGTGTTGCCACCCAATGTTTTTAACAATGAACACTCATTTGCCTCCCACTTCTCTGTAAGGTAACAACAACAAAAACAACCTGAGGCTCAGGCTGACTTGTCTGCCCTCAGAACTCACTATCTGTCAGTTTTGGTTCCTGGTATATAGCCTTGGGGCCCACACCACAGAAAATACTGCTTCCAACAGTTCCTCTATTGTTGCATGTGCATTACACAACCATTCCCTAGCAATGGCCATCTCTCCAACTCTGCTGTTTCGCCTTTCAGGCATCATATCACAGTATTATACAGGACACTGTTTCTTTTGGCAGTGGTTTGGGAACCTGGTTACCATGAAGTGGTGGAATGATTTGTGGCTGAATGAAGGCTTCGCAAGCTATCTAGAGTACCTTGGAGTGGATCATATCATGCCCAGCTGGAAGATGATGGATCAGTTTATTCTGGACAAAACTCACCCAGCACTGAATCTGGATGCTCTGGCAAGCAGCCATCCCATCTCAGTAGCAGTGCATGATCCTGTGGAGATTGAATCTATTTTTGACATCATTTCATATAACAAGGTAATTGCTTCTGTTAAAACGTGTTTTTTATGGAAAGAAAGTGACTTTTTGTTGAACACTGACCTTTTTATATTTAAAAGCTTATGAATTTAACAGATTGCTTTCATATTCTGTTTATATACTTACTTACCTACTCATGGAGCTGAGCCCTTCTTGGGGAGCTGCCAAGTCTGCAGCTACTCAAGAATTTTCCAGCATTTTATGAAACCCAAAGGTTCATCACTGTGTTCACAAGAGCCCTCCACTGGTCCCTGTCCTGAGCCAGATCTATCCAATCCATACCATCCCATCCTATCTCTCTTAAGATCCATTCTAATATTGTCTGCCCACCTACGTCTTGGTCTTCCCTGTGGTCTCTTCCCTTCTGGCTTTCCCACCAATATCCTATATGCATTCCTCGTCTCCACCATTCGTGCTACATGACCTGCCCACCTCATCCTCCTTGACTTGATCATTCTAATTATACTTGGAGAAGAGTACAAGTTATGAAGCTCCTCATTATGCAGTTTTCTCCACCCTCCTCTGACTTCATCTTTCTTCAGTCCAAATATTCTCCTCAACAGCCTGTTCTCAAACAACCTCAGTCTATGTTCCTCCCTTAATGTCAGAGACCAAGTTTCACACCCATACAGAACCACAGGCAAAATTATAGTTTTGTATATTCTAATTTTTATGTTTTTGGACAACAGACAAGAAGACAAAAGGTTTATCTGTTTATGTATTGTGATAAAATTATGGTAAGAAAACTTGAGGTAATTCAGCATCACTGTCAAGTATAGAGTATAAAAAGATGGATTTGAAATTCATTCATCCTGATGGGCTTTTACAAGTTTGTTACATAAAACCAAATTTTTAGATCCACACACACACACACACACATATATATATATATATGTATA